TATTTTCATACAAACATATGAATAAGACCCCAAACTTTGAATATACTCATGGAACATTAGCCCAAATAATATAACACCTATAAATACATCTGGTATTTACAGATCTTGTTAGTTTTTAAGGAAAAATATACATCACTTCTATACTATTAAAAGGTTACTAGTGTTAGGATTTATTATATAAAGTGTGGAGAGTCCTATGTTGGATTATAAGCATGGGCTACTTGGAAGAGATCCTTCTTAATAGTTAACTGAGGGTGCCATTCTTCTAATTCTGTTCCTCTCTGTGAGTCCTATGAAGCATGCCCTCTTCATCTCCACTAAACCTATCCTGCCATCCTGCTTCTACACCTATGGTCATGTCGTTCTTCTTGTCTGGAACTCCCTTTTACATATCTCCCCATTTTCTTTAAAACTAGTCTAAGAGCCTTCTGTTCCTGCTCCACCTTGATTGCTTTCATTTCCCTCTATTCCTAAATATTCACTATATATCCACCTTGTTGGCACTAACTTCATATTCTCTTGTGTGCTTCCTATGTGTACTGACCTTACCTTCCTAACTGAGCCAAAGGAGCTTTTAGGGGCAGTTGACCATGCCTTGTATTTCTTCCAGTTCTCTAGTATAGTGTAATATAATTTCAATTTTAAGTGATCAAAAAGCATTTTGAATCAAAACCACATTGTCATGCTGCGTTTTTGTAATCACCGGGACAAATGGACTTAGTGGAAATTTCAGTTAATTTGAAGTTTTTATTAGAAAGAATGCCACATAAGAGCATTTATCATATGATATGAAGAAGGGGAATAATAAAAAATTTTCAAAAAAATGTCATATGTGCTAGTCAGCTTTTCGTTACTGTAATATATACCCAAGACCATCAACTTATAATGAGAAAAAGTTTATTTTGACTCATAGTTTTGGAGGTTCAGCTCATGATTTGCTGTACCTATTGCTTTGGATTTATGGTAACACATCATAGTGGGAACATAAAGTGGAGCAAAACCACTCTCCTATTTAAGCCCCAAAAGAGAAAGAAAAAGGAGGGACTAGGACCCATTATCCCCTTTGAGGGCATGCTCACAATGACCAAAAAACATCATTCTAGGCCCACCTCTTAGTTTCTACCACCTCCCGTTAGCACCAAGCTGGGGACTACGTCATAGGCCTCTGGGGACATTTAAGATCCTAACTAGAGCAGTGCATTCACTGACTATACACTTACGATACTCCTCAGCTTTGACCCAAATGTGACTAAGTAGGATGTGGATGGTTAAAATAACAAAAATTTATTGAATACTCAATATTCAATATTGAATATGAATATGTTTATTCTGTTGGAAGTTAAAACATGAATACCAAGTAACTTTAAACAATAATTTATTTGGTTAGCTTATAAAAATTGAAGGCTAGAAAAACCAGCTTGGGGATATCCATAGGATCAGTAGTATGGCTGACAGAGGATCTTTTCAACACACTTGCATGGAAAGCAATCAACATGACACATTTTGACTTTCCTTATAACATTTCACTCAAGATTCAGATTCCTGGGAGACAGGTCCTACTAATCTTTCTTGGGTCATATGCCACTTTATTGGTCAAAGTCAAGAAACCTTGATGGGCAGTTCCACCAATCCTCCACAGATTGGGGAAAACTATGTCCCTTTGAGGAAATTAAGTACCACTACAAAGAGGGGGAAATGAAGATGTAATTGTTTGCCTATAAAATATCCTCCATAGGCTCATGTGTTGGGGGCATGGCTGTCAGCTGATAAGTTTTTGGGAAGTGATTGAATCCTAAGGGCTCTGACTTATCAAAGGATTAATCCCTTGATAGATTTATAGTATTATTGGGAGGTGGTGAAATGTAAGAGGTGAAGTCTAAAAAGGGTGAAATTCCCCTCTAGGGGACTCGGTGGGGGCATGAACTGGGACTGAAACCATGAGCCAAAATAAGTCTTTCTTCCCTTTATTTTCTCAGATGTTTGTCCCAGCTATGAAAAACTAACACAGAAGACTAACCTATTTCTGAAATCACCTTATAGAATAGACTATGAGAGAAATAGCAGGTGAGAGGTACCTAAGCAATAAAGGAAACTACAGGAGTAAGAGGAAAACAAATCATTAAATGTTATTTTCCACCATCTTCTATTGAGATGACATGGATCTTAAATTGTGAGGTAATGGCAGGTCAAGACGTGTTAGTCAACTCCATAAAGGCTTATTTTTCTAGTCCAAGTTGGTATACTTAGGCACTTCTTATTTCAAAGGTTTGCTCTGCTAAATATTTATTGTGAGAAGAATTTTTCCAGCTCCTGTCCTAGTTGTTGAAATGTCACCTAAGGCAAGGCAGGACAAAACAAGATAGAGCAGAGGTACTTGGTGTAGAAAGGAATTGCTGTCAATTCAGGTTTTAAGACTAACAAGGGAGATAATCTTCCTCACCATCACATTTCCAGAAAATCCTGACTTTCTCCATGATTCTGCTGATCTGTCTATGTCAGTGTGCACTTTCCCTTAAGTGCTGTAATTTGAGGATTTAAATGATGAGTGATCTCATAGACATATGTCTTTACAAAACTTCATAGTCTCATCAGATGTTTAGCTGTTTCTGTAATATGTTATCTAGTTTGGGGAATTAAAACTATATTGTCCATAAAGGAAATTCTGAACAGGAATTATAAAGTACTAAGTTGTCGTTAGAAGAAATAGAATTACATTTCTTACTTTTATAACAGCATAGGAACTGGAGACAGTAGACTTCTGGTAGAGGGATTTATCTGATTATTTCAAAGGATTTCCATATCTGGAAATTATTGAATTATTTAAATTATTCTGATAACACAATTGTATTGCTTGAGTACCTGGATTTTAGGCTCTACAGTTTTGTGCACAAATTGTGAAATCTTTTAGTTTTCAGTTATTCAATGTCAAAAGTTAACAATGACCTACGTCAAGTGGTAACATGAGTTTTTCCCAGTCCTGTGAATTCAAAGTGAAGAAATTCACTACAGCCCAGATAATTGATGGGTGTAGCTCTGACTCTCTTATGGTAGCCAAATGCATTGTCATCTAATTAGGGAGATGCATGAATGGATGAGTGATATTTCTACAGTATTTGCCTTTTATCTGGTGAAACCTCAGCCAAAGGAATGGCATGGCAAAACCTGTAGACAAAGGAGACTGTCGAAAGTGACTATAAAACTCTAGTTGTGAGGACACACTGGAGGTATAGGTGAAGTGTCTCTGTAGGGGACATGGAGATCAGGCCTTAGGTCTCCAAATCCACTGCTATGTAAGCTTTTTCAACACTTAGAAAAAGAAGGTAAATTTTCATTTTTAAAAAACTTACCATTTTGAGACCAAAATCTAGTAAAACTTTAAAGCAAAAATAGATAAATTCTATTTATGAATTTTAAAATCCCTCCCCCTAAAATAGACCAATATAGTCAAATAGTCATAGTCCAAATAACCACAGCAGATTTAATCCAATGATTCACGAATGCTGCAATAGTGGAAAATATAAATTTTATCATGCTAAAAATCTTAAGGGGAAAATCACTTTATCAGTTCCTATTCACTGAAAATGCACTTGATTAAGTATAATAAGTCATTTTTATAATAACACTCAAAAACAGAAAAATACAAATGCTCTCTTAACTTTGTAAAATAAACCTATCTAAGCCCCAGGGGCAGCACTGTGGCATTTGATGGCATTCCCACTAAGGTCAGGAATAGACAAAAATATATGCTCTTATTAACATCATTTGGGATGTGCTGTTGTTTAATGTAAAGAAAAAAAGAAGTATATTAAAGTTATAAAATTCAAAATGAGATAACACTGTTACTGTATATAAGGTGCAGAATGTTTTGTACAAAAATATGCTGCTTCTTGCTAAAAAAGAGGGAACTCTAAGAACACTTGCTTGGTTTTGCTCAGTCATGTGTAAAGAAACTCTGCTGCCAATCCTAGCCTAGGCTCTCTTCAGGAACGAACACTTAAGTCCTTGCTCCAGCTGCTGGCAGGGCTGATGGCAGATGGCCCTGAACTGAACGCCCTTATGGGACGTGATTGCCTCTTTCAAAAGGAGCTACCTTACGTGAGGTCAACACACCTTCTTTGAGTGACATGCATGCAATGAGTGACCAGCATGGGGGTATGAGGGTGCTCTGGGGCAGCCCTGAAGAAGATCCCAGTTTCAGAAACGTCTTTTGAACTGCATGCCGCTTATCTGCTCCCTCTGCCTCTGCTCCTTTTGTGGTACTGACCCACAAACAGTCCTGATAAGTTGCCTTCTTGTTGATCATCTGCTTCCTGGGAAGCCTAAGAAACTGAAAACTAAGAAACTAAAATCACTGCTTCCCTCCGGTTGGGTTTGGGAACTTCACGGAGGGGGTAAAGGTTGGGAAACAGTTTCACTCTGTGCCTTTTTATAATTAAAAAAATCTTTTTTGACAGTCAAAAGGCACCCCCCACACACCTTGGACTATCAATATACTCTTTAAAAAAAGAAGGACAGGAAGGTAAAACAAGTAATTTCCAGGGGTTGGTACCAGTGGGAGGGAGCTGGACATAAGGAAAGGGAGAATGATGGTAAATAGGGTGGATGTATTTTATATTCATATGTGAAAATAGAAGAATGAAACCTGTCGAAGTAGTTCTAAGAAGGGGATAGGGTAGAGGAGGGAGAACAGTGGAGGGGGTAAATCTAAATAAGATATATTATAAGCACCTATGTACATGTTACAATGTATCTATCCCTTGTATAGCTATTATATTCTAATTAAAAAAACACCAAAATGATTTTGTACAGTGGATGCATGATTTATGCAAACCATAAGTGAAATTTTAAAAGTTTACCTTATATGTCAGTGGCATTTTCTGCTTGGAGAATCTTTTAATATTTTAATTTAGGAGGAGATATTTTGATTCAAAACACTTCCTGTGACACACTTTAAATGTTCTTTTCTTTTCTGTTTTTTGTTTTTGTGTGTTTTATTTGGTAGGACCTCCAGAGACACCATCTTGATTTCACCTTAAAATGGAATATAAAAAGTCACCTGATGGTGGTTGGGGCTGGGTGATTGTGGTTGTCTCCTTCTTCACCCAGTTCCTATGTTACGGATCCCCATTAGCCGTTGGAGTCTTGTACATAGAATGGTTGGATGCCTTTGGTGAAGGGAAAGGAAAAACAGCCTGGGTCGGATCTCTAGCAAGTGGAGTTGGCTTGCTTGCAAGTAAGTGGATAAATGTATGGCTCTCCTTACTCTTTAATCATTTAATTACATTTGCTGCATCATTAACATTGAACAAGGCATAGAAGGCTTTTTAAAGTTTTAAGACCTCGTATATTTTTCTGCTGTCATTGAGATTGCAGTACCACTCTTGCACTGTAATAAATCTATGTGAAAGTACAGGAATTCTGTAAACCAGTCAATCATTTATTCATTTCTTTATTCATTTATCTGTTACTATGTGTCAGGCAGTGTGTGAGATGCTGCAAATGAAAAGATGAACTACAAGCATGTGGGTCCTGCCTTTAAGGGGCTCATTGTCTAGTGAGGGACATCCATCCATCCATAAGTACAAATGAACCACGGAGATGAAGGTAGTATGCCACATATGTCCAAGCTATGTTGGTGATCACAGGACCGATGATGCTAAGTAATCTTCTAAGCTCTTGATTATTCCTCTCTGATTCAGTACACTGGGTCAAATCACATGTCCTACACTTACAACTTCATTGGAAAAAGATGACAAAGCCAAGCGTAGTCCTGTCTCACAATCAAGGCTTTTCATATAGGATTATGTGTAAGATATGGTTTGTAGTTAGAATGCCCTTCATAAATAATATTTTGATAAATGGTTACATATCATACAATAGTGATTTCTATCATCTTTAGAGAGAACAGTAGATTTTTATTTTGCCATTAATTTAAAGTGTTACTTGAGTTTCTGGGGCCATAGTTTGAATTCTGCAGTAATATTTAGTGATCACCACTCTAACTCACTTGACACTGTTAAAGCACAAATGAGCTAAGATGGTAACATAGATGAAGTCGGTAGCCTTGGAGTCTACTCCTGTGTGCTGTGAACTTGTCATGATTCCTTGAGCAAATCACAATCTCTATTTCTTTTTTGGAGGTGCTGGAGATCAAACCCAGGATCTAGGGCATGCTGAGCTACATCCTCAGCCTTTGTTTTTGTTTTTGTTTTTTGATGCAGGGCCTTGCTGTGTAGCTCAGGCTGGCCTAGAACTCATTATCCTCTTGCCTCAGCCTCCTGAGTGCTGGATTACAGATTGAGCCAACAATCCCAGCTAACACAATCCCTACTTCTGTGGAGAAAACAGGGACATTGAATGTGGTGCTTTGTAAGGTTTTTGAGTTCTAACGTGGATTAATGAAAGTTTGCTTAATACAAAGTGCATTAGTCACTCTTTTAAATATGTTATGTCTCTTGGATATTAAAGGAGAGTTCTGTGGAGAAAAGTGGTTGCTTCCAAATCTTGCATTGCCTTGTCAAATTAAAACAAGACAAGAGAAACACAAGACATGAAAAACAATGCCAGATCATCTGGGCATGTCAGATAACTAAACATAACTAAACAAATGAAAATAATACTGAACTCAAGTAAATAATTATGGACTCAAGAGAAACAGGAAAAGTTTTCCCAAGATTTGTTTAGAAGACTTTTTCAAAATAGGAATTATTTGTAAAGCTGTCAAAGTACAAGTAGATGATAATTGATAAGTTAATAAAGGGATTTGAAAATAGTGCTTTGTAGAAAAAACCTGGTGAGGAGAGGAGAGAATGTTTTTAAAATGGTTTCTAACTGATCACCATTTTTATGAGCAGATACTTAAACAGAAATGTAATTACCCTGGCTCCCAGCAAGGGCTGAGGATAATTGAAATGATATCTCCTTTAACACATGGCTGGAGAACAAAGCTTCTTCTCACTCTGTCTGTTCCCGTAATAGGAAAGGGTTGAGGGTAGCTGAGATCTAGAAGATGGCAAACTGGCTGGCCTCAGACCTGGGTTGACCATCCTTGAAAATTGACCTGCAGCTCTACACTTCCTCCATGTTTCTGTTTGGATGATCGTTTGTCTTGTGTGCCAGAGGCAGCCATCTTCACTTTTAGGCAGGACTGGCTACATAATTTCTAGGCCCAGTGCAAAACGAAACTACAGGATTCTTAGTTCAATACTACTTCCCAGTGGGGAAGGCTGAGATAGGTCAAATAGAGACCTCTACCCAGTGTTTCCAAGTTCTTGTCACCAAGAGACACAAAGTAAGGAATTGAGAGGAAGTTTTATAACAGCATGAGAAAGTACACACCCGAGAGGGAGTGTGGGCCTCTCCACAGAGACAGACTTTTTGGTGGGCTTTATACTAAATCTGGTGGATGTGGTAAAAGGTTACACAGGTTATTTTTGACTAAGGTGATTCGACAAGGATTATTTAATTTCTTGGTCATGTTGGTTCAGATTAGAAGGTCAGACATGATGTCTGCATTAAAACTGTTTTTCTTTTAACACAAAGCCAGTTTGGTGGTTATTGATCCCACATCTAGAGACTGAATAGTTTATAGGCTATTGGTTCCTGTTTTTTACATTTCTTCTTGCTTTTCTTTAAGGTCTTCCCTTTGATTTCTTTGTGCTGCTTGGACAGTCCCTATTTCACTATCTTGGTGGTGAGACAAATATATTTTGTATTGGTGACTCAAATGGTTAGTAGTGGTTCTTAACCAGAGAGATAGTTATAATCAATTATAAAAAGTTATAGCATATATTTGTCTGGGTTTTCACCCTCACATTTTAATTCAGTTAGTCTGTGATGAGACCAAAATACATGAAATTTTTTTTTTTTTTTTTTTGGTGCTACTGATGGAACCCAGGGCCTCGTGCATGCTAAGCAGGCTCCCTCTGCTACCGTTGAGCTTTACCTGCAGCCCCAGTTCTCAAAAGCTATTTTAGTTGGGAGCTATAACTGGTTTAAGCCTTCTCTATTCAGATTTCAAGTTTGTACTTTTTGGATAACTCCAATATACATTTTTTTTTTACTTTTTTATTCATAAAGTAGATTACTGTAAGTTTCTACTTAGGCCTGGCTTTTCTTGTGCCATGTATATCATGAAAGATAAATTATGCATCCTATGACTCCAGTTCTGGTGGGCCTCTGGTGACAAAACCCCCACCTAAATAGAGATCTTTGCATCCATTTTGGTAAAAGATGAATTTATATCTATCTATCTATCTATATCTATCTATCTATCTATGTTCATTTACATCTATATTTTTTTGCAAAAAGGTGAGCTTCACAACATTCACATTCTATTTTCTCTTAAATTCATGTGTGTATTTGAATTACCTGAGCTTGTCCAAAAAGCCAATTTCTTACTCATCAGTGAGGTGGGGTAAGGCGTGTTCTCAGGAATCTGCATTTTAATTATAGGTCTCCAGTCAATTCTAATATGACAAGCTGTGTATTAGCTGAGAAATAGTAACTATTTTCTTTACCAGTTTTGTTCACAGAAGGACTGGAAAGTATGTCTCCCTTGACCAATTCTATGGTTTGACCTCTAAAACTTTATAATTTTTTTTTTTGCTTAAAACAATTCAAATATATTGTCTTACCTTCCTGACAGTCAGAAGTTCTAAAATCAAAGCATCAGCAAGGCTATCAGAACTTTAGATTTGAACAAGGCATGGCAGAGTAAGTGTATTTGGGAAGCAACATACAAATTCTGACTTTCATGTACTTTTCCCTTACGGGTCAGTACACTGGAAAACAGGACAGCTGAGCTCAGGTTTTTCTAATGTGGTAGGGCCTGTTCCTTCATCTTTGAAGCAGTGAAAATAAAAGTACCTACCTTATAGTATTGTTGTATAGAATAATTGAGATGATGCTTGGTGTATGGTAAATGTTCAATAAATATTAGTTATTAGTGAGGAAATCATTCACAAATAAAATTACTCTCCCAAATAATTCCAATGAAACAGTACAACCTGCAAAAGGAATCTTCAGGATGAAAGACCAAAATATTTCTTGGAAGAAAGAAGAGAAAGCTAGACTTTCCCAAGGTTATGCTTAAGCATCTGGAATTTATAGTCCCACTCTTTATTTCTGACAATGTCAGGTTTGGACACTAGCTTTTAATAGCATATTAGGACTATGAAGAGATAGGCAGTTCTCAACTTTGTACTCTTCATAGCCTTCTTAATAGCTTTTCCTTGAAACTTGAAATATTGAGTAGAAAATACTTCAGCTTGTCTGAATTGTTTGTCCAGATGATCCTTGGGATAAATCAAGCTGCTGTAGAGTATCTTCACTTCCTGGGTTGTTCAATGCAAATGAATTCATCATTATGACATACAGTCATAGTGCTCGGAATGCCAAGATAGGGGACACATCCATGCTTAATGGGGTCTGTAGTCTCAGGGAAGAGCTAGAAAAAGGAAAGAAACTAATAATTTGAGACTTTACAAATTAACCTAGTTGAAATCAAAGAAATTTATGTTTATTTGGGGATAATTGGGATTGTAGTCTAGGAAAACACGGATTTGAGCAGTCTTGAAAATGTGCTCTGAGGTTTTACAAAATAGTGGCCTGTATTTATAGCTCTAAACTGCAAGGGGGTTGGAAATTAATTCATTTGTTATCAGGAGTTATGTTGGCGTTGGCAAAAGTTAAGCTTTCTTGAATGGAAGGAACTGGGTGTGAAACTAGTCTCTAGGTAGGTTAGGGCAAAGGATCCATTGTATAAGAAAGTCAGCAGAGGTTAATGATATTTCAAAGATCAATTTGCATCCAGGGGTGGTGTGCCTGCAGTCCCCAGTTCAAAGATTCAGCTGTAGATGGGCTTATCTGAGATCTGATTAACAATGGCCTCCCAACACCATTTTAAGTGCTCCAAACCAGTTCTACTTCATTTTGATTTTTTTCCTTGACTCTCAGAGAGAGTCTGAGGTAGGCCAGATTGGAGGATGAACTGTCACAAGTGGATAAGCAGGGAGAGGACAGTCCATTCAAAGTCCCTGAATGTAAAGGCCTAGTGTCAGCATTGTAGATGACACTTCTGATGAATTAAATTTGGCTGGAGGAGAGGGATTATGTTGGGAAGAGTGATAGTCAGATTTATGTGTCAACTTGGCTAGGTTACATTCCCTGGTTATTTAAATACTGATCTATTGCTGTGAAGGTATTTTATAGATGTGAAAAGAGTCTACAATC